GTTTTTTTCGGTTAAAAACGCCTTACTATACATGGTCGTTTTTTTTTGGCTAAAAACGCCTTACTTTACATGGTCGTTTTTTTCGGTTCAAAACGCCTTACTATACATGGTCTTTTTTTTTGGCTAAAAACGCCTTACTATACATGGTGTTTTTTTTCGGTTAAAAACGCCTGACTATACATGGTCATTTTTTTTGGCTAAAGACGCCTTACTATACATGGTCGTTTTTTTCGGTTAAAAACGCCTTACTATACATGGTCATTTTTTTCGGCTAAAAACGGCTTACTATACATGGTCGTTTTTTTCAGTTAAAAACGCCTTGCTACACATGGTCATTTTTTTGGGCTAAAAACGCCTTACTATACATGGTTGGTTTTTTCGGTTAAAAACGCCTTACTATACATGGTCGTTTTTTTTTGGCTAAAAACGCCTTACTATACATGGTCGTTTTTTTCGGTTAAAAACGCCTTACATGGTCATTTTTTTCGGCTAAAAATGCCTTTCCATACATGGTCCATTTTTGGGGTGGTGATGCTTTAAATGTATCAATAGACTAACAAACCTCTCATCCCAAACTTAACCCACAGCCATCACTTTCTGAAAGGGCAAAAAGCACAGGCCTTCCCATAGGTTTCATCAAGTTTAATTTAAGACCTATTTTAAAGGGGAAGTCACCCCCGAAATTTTCTTTCCAATATTATGTTCTATGCAGGCCCACGAAGCTAAACACAGCATTCAGATTAATATTGTGTTTGCGGAATTTGGATGAAGCAGTGAAATCCACCTGTTTTTGTCCATTTCGGGGGGGGGGGGGCATTTTTCCACTTCCTGTTGACTGAAAATGAGTGGCCATGCATAGAATTTATTGTTCAGAAAATTTTTGAGTTCCCCATTTAAAAAGAAATCAGAATTCATTCAAGGAGGAGGTATCATGTAGACGCACTTTATTCCTAAAACAGAAGCTGCACCATCAGTAGCGGCACACAAATATATGTACCCATATACACACAAACACACACACACACACACACACACGCACACACACACACGCACGCACATTAGATTACCTAAATCTGTTATATAAAATATATCATCTGACAATGTACCTTTTGAATTCATCTTCAGAGCTCATTGAGTTAAAAGTGTGCAAGAGCGTCTGGAGCCCCAAATGGCGGGCGAGCGCGCGTGCACACCCGCGAGACGAGATGCAACGCTTTCTGCCCGCTTGCCGCGGGGAGGGGCGGGACCAGGCGTCCACTTCATGTTTACAGCGTGGCGATAAAAAGGCGTGTACCCTTCTTTGAAAAAATAAGATTCTAAAAGTCATCTACAGCAAAAAAGTTCACCACTTGTTCCAAAGCCACTTCCTTTACACTGAGATGTACACACCCGCTAGGTTTTGTCATATATAAAAGACAGTAAGCGTTAAAAATTCCACATTTAAAAACTTACAATAAATAATATATGCAGGCATTTCATTAGGATAAAATTTCGATTGCAATCTACAGTCATTTAAAAACACCTTTTTACGAAACCTCCTTTGATCATCCAAAATGGATTCTTGGCATCTGATTGGACGCTGGCGGAAGCGCCGAGAGGCTTCTTCCTGCTCCTGGCGGGAGCGCCGAGAGGCTTCTTCCTGCTCCTGGCGAGTCACGTGACTTCTTGTGAGCATCAGATCATGTTCATGATGAAGTTGTACATCTGCGTCAGCACCACAAAGTGAACTGGCAGGCAGGAGCGGCGGTCCTGAGTGGCGGGGTCGCAAGTCAACCAGGAGAGGGCGTTGTACTGCTCCAGGACAAATCTGAGAAAAAAAACAAAAAAACAAAACAATTAAACAAAACAGGCCTTCACGTTTACATCTGCTCAGCAAGTCACAATGTTTCCTCACAACTCAAATTGAAGTACTTTGTATTCATTAATGATTCACTCGCCTTTGGATTGTAAACTTAACCAATAAGAACAAAACATTTATGTATCATAAATGTCATTGTTTATTGTAATACAGATTCATTTATTGGTTGGCACAAGATACTTGAAATAATAATCGCATATAAAATCCCAATATTGAATGAGGGGGGGAGAAAAAAAAAATCTCGATTAGATAACTGTTTAAAATCCTTCAGGGGCTTCTACCCCATGATAGGCTAGACAGCAATTTCACATTAAATATGTTCAAGATGATTATGAAACTAACTCCGGGTTGCTGAGCATCATCATGGTCTGCTTTGAAGTCAACCTGAATTGAGCACATCGCTGAAGGATCCGCTGCATCGAGCTTTTGTGGATGCAGAGCTCGAGCACAATCACATCTGGATATTTACTTTTCCCAACTCTGTTACCGCCTACTCCAGAAGCTTAGCCTTGTCATCAGTGTGCATCGGAAAGTTCATGGTGACTTTTACGATCCCCTCTATTCTCATGCGATTGCTCCTTGCGCTTGGTAATGACAACCCACACCTTGCACAATAACAAATAAACATCACAAAAAATAATCTACAGTTTAAAAAACAAAATCCAGCTGTCTCGCACTCCTCTATAAAGTCAATGAGAATTTTGCACAAAAGAAATACAAGAAGCACACAGTAAAAATGTGCCACACGGCTATGTAAGTTGATTGCTCCTATCCGGGCTATTCATAACAACTTACATTGCAAAGAAGAGAAATAAATAGAACTGACTGACCTGAGGACATCTGAGGTGTGGTTGGAGTCGAGGGGGTGGGAGTGTTTACTGTGCAGCAGCTCGTCAGATTGGACAGAGGACACGTGGAGGTGCAGAGAAGCCTGATGGAGACAACGGTCACATCACCATGAGCGTGAAAAAGAAAAAAAAAAAAAAAAAAGTTTAAAAAGAGGCCAGTCCTGTACCTTGAGGAAGAGAGGACACTGGTTCTGAGCTTGAGGACAGGCTGACCAGAACCAGTCGGGCAGCGGTCCGGCCTTGGCGGTGGACACAAAGTAGCCCAGCGCCATTGGCTGCTGCAGGATGTTCAAGGCCTCCTCGTGAGACTCCATGCGATCCGCGCTCTGACCCTACAACACAAAATGGGGGACGCACACACACCCAAAAAAACATCATCAAGAGTTTCTATCACTTTCAATGAAATGCCACACAGACGATAACACGGATCAACTGTCCAATGGGGGGTGGGGGGTGGGGGTCCCCGTTCTAAATGAAATGCCACACAGACGATAACACGGATCAACTCCCCAACATCCCAACATTTTTGGGGAGTGGGAGTCGAGGGTTGGTAATACTGCAGAAAAATGCAAAAGTCTACACCGCTTCGAGCACATTGCCGTCGAGGGTTGGTAATACTGCAGAAAAATGCAAAAGGCTACACCGCTTCGAGCACATTACCAGAGAGAGAGAGACCTGCTAGTAAGCGACAGACTTCATGAAAAAGGTGGTGGGTCAGCGTTCATTCAAATGTATTCTTCATCTTTGTGTTCATTTTTAAAATGGATATTCATCAAATAATTGGCTCATTAATATTGTAGTGATATTAGTACAATTGGACATGTACATTAATCTATTTCGATTGACGTCATTTAAATCACTGGTGTCAAACGTAAGGCCCAGGGGCCAGATTGGGCCCACCACATTATTTTATGTGGCCCACGAAAGCACATCAACTTGACGTTCACTAAAGTTTGGAACCTTACCTAGGAATAACTTTCAACATTTGTGTTTTAAAAGTCATACATGGGGCCCCGAGCCCAAAAACGTACCCACGCCTGTGCTAACTTTACGTAAGGATGTGTGATGGCTCTTGCAATTGCTAACTTGTAGAACACACACAAGAAAAAGATGGATAACCTGCTATTTCGATCTGCATTTTGTCTGACTGCCACCAAGTTTGAAGCAAATATGTTAGAACCAGTAATACCCAGACAATAAGCCGCGGTACGTGAACGTTCTGTGAGAGACAATCGGGTGTGCCATGGGAAATTATCCAATTTCACCTAATTAGCGTCAATTAATTACAAATATGTCCAAATTAGACTGTGTATTTTTCCGCCTGTTGACTTTCATACAAGGTAATAATCGCTTTCTTCAACAAAACAAGACCAGACTTCAACGCGAAGTAAATTAGACAGTAAAGACACAAGATCATCATTCGTTATGATATATTGTATATATTTTTCAGCAACATTTTGGTTTGGTGGAATGTTGTAATATAAAATACACGAACATCGTACTACCGAATGGGCGACGGCAACAGTAAAAAAAAAAGAAAAAAAAAGTGAGTTTTGTTGATGTTGCAGCAAACAGGCATTCGCCCTTGCTTGTGTTTCGTGTCATACGGGAAACAGGATATGGAATAGCTGCCATTTGGACGCTGCCTACAATATGAGCTAACCGCTACCGTGTCGCCAGTACAAACCTTGCTTCCGTCGCCGCCGTGGTGGTAATGCGAGCTTGGCGAGTGAACAGGGGACGTGGTGGGCGAGTTGGGCAGGATGCTGATAATGTCTGGATCCACCATGTCGTTGTCGAACAGGTCAAAGATGCCCATTCCGTCAGAGCCGTCTGCGACGGGCGAGAGGCAAACAGTCTGTTACGTTCAACCGCTTGCTAACGATGCGACTCGGCGCGTTGCCAACACTCACCTGGATTGATCGGGTTAAAGTTGATGTCGATGGGTTCCGACGTGTTGGTGTTGACTTGCACCATGGCCGAGGTGGGGAACACCAAGATGTGCGTGCACGACGTGTCCTGCGGCGTACTCAGCTGCGACGTCTGCATGTTGAGCGTGGTGCTGCGGCCGAACACTGAGCCCGTTGACACGGAATCTGCATCATGCGCAAATTCAAACAAATCACAGACAGAACGAGATTTGGGGGGGGGGGGGGTTTGCTTGATTCAGTTCTGTACTGAGTTTTACCTGGCATGACCACAAAAGAACCCTGCGGCTCCATGGCGACCAGGCAGGCGCTAAGGATGCTGGGAGTGTCTGCGGCAGAGATGCCGCACATCCGACACGTCTCCTTCAGGCGCTTGCTGAGGGACTGAAGGTTCCTTCTGCTCAGCAGAATACTCCAGTCTGGAACAACCACGGCACATTAAGTGCTTTTCTTCATTCTTTAGAACAAACACTCTGCAGTCTCAAACATCATTTTCAGACATTTAAGACAGAGGTCACCAACTTTTTTTAAAAACTGGTAGCTACTTCTTGAGTACCAGTTTGATACGCTCTTCTGAAGTAATACATTCGTATTAGTAATATAAATGTACCTAAAGTAGACGTTTTAAAACAAACAGTAGTACACGCAAATGTATACTTAAGTTAAATACAACTGAACTGCACTCGACAAATGTACTGTACTAGGTTCAAAAAATGCATACGCCACTGTTACATTGTGCAGTTTGAACATTTAATTCAGTGGTTTTCTCGCTAACCACTAGAGGGAGACCTCGTGCCGCACTGACAACCACTGCATGAGAAGACGGCACTTGAAATCAGAGCATAGATTTTTTTTTCCAAGTTCAATTGAGGTTGCACTCCAGTTCAAATGTCATTTCGGAATGCCGTCTTTTTGTGTTTACCTCTTAGTTCACCGTGGCCCATCCTCCCCAGGCGACCAATCACCACCCTCCACGGAAGCGATGTCACCTGCACCAGGCCCAGGCACCAATCCCACAGCTTCTGCAGACCCAGCCGTCGGGCGGAGCCCATTTTCCTGCGAGCCCTGCAACCCAACGCACAAGATCATTTTGAGCAAAGGCCAAAAGAGATCGTCGACCGGGCAGGTGCGCCGGGCTCACCTGTTAGGCACGTCGATGCTGATGATGCAGCTCTCCAGCAGCTCGCCGTGCTGGTCGGTGCAAGAGGCCAGCAGCCAGCGCTGGTCGTGAGACAGGCAGTAGCCCACAAACAGGATGTTGTACTTCTGCGACGCCTCCCCGAAAGTCTCGCCCAGCTCCGTCTGCTTATCTTTCACCGGTGCCAGAATAAAAGGTGGTGTGTACAGACGCAGACACTCCGGCCTCTGCGTGGACAGGGGAAAAGGTTAGTTTAAGAAGCTCAAGATGCCAAAAGCCTTTCAGATAAGGCTGGGCGATTAATAGCTATAAATGCTTAAGTGTGCCTGTGGTGGCAAGAAGGGAAAATATAGATGGTTTATTAAGAGAAACTGCATCCAAACCTGTTATTGTTTACACTGGTTGTATTAAAGCAAGCTAATGGTAACTAGCGGAACCTAGATGTCGAGACGCCATGGCAGCTAACGTGCGCAGAGATAGTTGCTTGCAAGAGGCAGAGCCGTGCGTGACATAGCAGCTTGGAATTCAACACGGCATTTTCTTGGACGGATTCTGACAAATCTGAGTAAGTCTCGCCATTTTACAGAGATGCACTCCATCTCGACTGACGGAAGGTCCGTCAATCATCACTGACGAACGCTTGTTTTGCTGATCCTGTGCCAGGTGAGGCCAGTGCACGGCACGTCAGAAATCAGCCACCGCATGCGGAAGCGACAGCCTGTCTGTGATGTGGGTCAGGTTACATTCTTTCCGCCCAATAAATAAATAAATATCTCTCTCTCTCTCCGTATCTGGATGCCACGTTCACGGGAAGAAAAAAAAATGAGACAAGAGAGATTTTAATCCACAGGCAAACTATCTGGCGTCTCACTCAATGGCAACTGGTGAGGGCAGTCAGCGCCTGAACATCACATCCGTTTCCCTAAGATGGTGCATTTCTTACACTATTATATTGGACACTTCAAACGTGGAAGCATTCGTTGTCGACCGGCTTATAAAAACGTATGCAGGATGCAATTTTGTTTCCATTTCCAAGGTCAAAAGTAAGGAATTCAGCAACTTTTAAACATGAAAAAATGACTTCTGTGACAAAGAAATGTGAGATTTTCTTTTGAAAGCTGTCGCCCAGTCCCACTTTCATGATCCTACCTCTGGGTTTTTGAGCGCCATGTCGATGGCAAGCCCAGGACCGAAGCCCGTCAAAGATTTAAAGTTGGTGGAGTTTGGCAGGGGCCGCCGACACTGCGTGAAGACGGAGAAGGCGAGTGACTTGAGGTGCTGCCCGTACAGGTGACGCTCGCCGCTGTGCACCGGCTGCAGGAGGTACTGGCACGGGACAATCTGACAAAACACAAGCAGATGAAGGATGTTAACACACTTGCATACAGAACGGTTTTGGGGGGGGGGGGGGGGAGTCCGAGCCGAGATAATGGTAAATAATGAGAGTTGACTGTGAATAACACCAGTATGGAGTCGGTGTGGGAGAAATAATACTGCAATGTCTCTCTTGCGCTACAGTATCAAATGTCAATTATACATTATTAACGTCAATAACTTTCAGATCCAAAACACCTCACACTTACATTTTCTGTAAAGACTAAAAAAAAGAATGTTGCGAGATATTAATTTTAAAAAAGTATTTGCCAATTGTTTTCCACTTACAAAATTGCAATCGACATTTTGAAATGGGCTGTTACTCTGGATTTGACACCTGATATCGATGCACTTGTAAAGGCTAAAACTTGAAGGGCAAACTCAGCCCCCTCCATGTGAAATGCTGTGCCACCTTTATACCGTGGAGAAGACAGATCTGTGTATATGTGAAGAAATATTGAAAGAAACAGAATATTGGAAAATATCAGTCAACAGCTTCAGTTCAAAAGTTGGAAGTTTGTTGGAAGCCTTTTGGGGTTTTTTTTTCCATGCAGCGCCACATTTTGGATGTATTTAATACAGCCTATTGGGCCCACTTGAGATCCAATGAGCGTGAATGAGGCCTCTGAAATGTAACATCATCAAGATCGGGAAATTTATGGCTAAACAGCCATATGACAAATTAGATGTCGAATTATAAAGTTATATCTAAATTGTATGATTAAAAAAAACAATAAAGTGGCATTTTTTAAAGTTTTTACTTATTTCAGCGACAAAACTTTATAGATGCTTTTTTTCCCCCCCATATAGCGATTGCTCCAGCCTCAAATATACAGTATAGTGCTGCGAGTTACTCCCAATATATGGCCCGACTATGTCGAAGTGTTACATTACATCCAGCTATCTTCTCCAGTAAATACTTGTAACTGGATCATGTTCTATTATTGCAGCAGCAGCAGCACCACCACCATTAGCCCTAATTCTCTTTGACACATTGACGCAACCTTGTGTCAGCCAGTCTATCACGTTGCACCTGAACTATCCTGCTAATCAGTCCCTTGCTCATTCTCGTCTCCCCTGTGGGACTGAGACGCTCAGTGCATCGCACTGAATAAATGGTCACAGTAAATCCAAAAGCACACTTTTTTTTTTTCATGGTGTTTGCGACACCTACCTGCACGGAGACGGCATTTCTGATTCGAGCGGGAAGGAACTGGAGCATCTCCATGTAGCAGCGCAGGAGGCCCAGCGTGTAAGCGCTGGAATGGACCTCGCGGTCGGCGTCCGTGTAACTGAACGGGTCCACGATGTACACCACGATGGCAGGTGGGTAGGAGATGGCGTGGGACTCTCCATCTGTCGGCTTGCCCACTTTGTCTCTTTCCATTGTGCTGTGGGGATGAAAAAGATGGCCTGTTTACACGCTCAATATAGAAGCAACGTCTTGTTCAAAAACAAGCTGGGAGGAAGTCACAAATGTCCAAGTCAGAAGTCTCACTTTTTAAACCTTAATATTCATGCTGTCAGCAAGTCCCAAGTTCAAATGGGGGTAGAGGAGGGAACAGGTCCCCACTAAATTTCAAGCAAGTCATTACCTTGTTCATCTTTCATGTATTTGAACTAATTGAGTCCTGACTTACCCCACTTATGGTTAAAGGTAGCAGTCTAGTAATAACAACAACAACAACAAACCATGTATACACAGTAATGACTCACCTCTCAGGTGGTTCACTTGAGCATTGGGAAGTGACACCATTTTCCGCACTCGGGCCCTGCGAGATCGACTGGGGCCCGTTATGTGACGTGGTGCCCTGCAACCCGCCGGTCGCAAACTGGGGGTAGGCACCTGGCTTGGATGACGACAACCCACCCATGGCCTGGGGGCCGGAGGGGGCGGACGGAGGGGCACTGTTTATCTGGGCCGTGCTGGTGGCATTTGAGTGTCCTGAGGCAGCACTAGAAGAGGCAGATTTCGGAGAGGATGCAGCGACGGGGTTCCGTTGGGAGAGGAGCGATCTGTCCAGAGACTGCTCCGATAGATAGGGAGCTGAGGGAGGAGACAAATGTTCTCAGCGCTGATTGTATGATTAGAACAAGAGCAAGATCATGCCAAAAACCTCAAAGGAAATAAGCCACAAAAGCTCACAATACATAAGGGGTTCTTGGTCTAAGATGATCACGACATTTTGAGATTTCAAGGTTACAAACAGTGTCATGAGGTAGTTTGCGCAGCGCAAAAGAAAATGCAAAAAAAATCTGACACATAACACATATGCCCCCCCCCCCCAAAAAAAAGCTGAATGAAACTGCAGCATTAGTCTTAGTTTCGATGATAGTCCTTCACACAGAGCAGAGATAGCATTGTTGGATGCTCCATTTCCATGTGTTGCTGCCCAGTCTTATATGTTCAATATAATGCTTGCTTCTATTTAGTTTTATGTGTCAGTTTTACAGTGGAACCTGAACTGGGAGTTCCAAACAGCTTGAAGCAACCATGATTGGAGAAATGTGCTCGCGAGAGTAAAAATAATCACTCAGGACTCTTGCTCTAATGAGTTACAATGTTTTAAGGGGAACATTTTTATCTCTCTACATTACACTTTTCACCAAATTAGCTGGGTCTGGAACGATAAGTATCCCCGGTGATAAAAAAAAAAGGATTTGAAACAGGGATTTGTTGTATGACTTCACTACTGCGCAAGACTACAACACATTGGACCAGAACTCAGTCACAAACCGAGGACTCCCAGTGATATTGTTTCCCCTCACCACGGCATTGAAATTGGCGTTAAGTACCTAGATCATAGCGGCACACTTGAGCAAAGACTTTGAGTTTTTTGAAGGCCTCGCTGTTGGGATCTCTCGCGGCCATCTTGAGGAACCAGTCGCTGAGGGGCTGCTCGGCCATGCTCCTGTCTTCTGTGCTGCCAACCTTCAGGATGCCCTCGGGATGACTTTTGCAGATGGGCCTGTGCTGCCCGAGCTGGCACGCCTGTCGCGAGGAAATCAAATCACATCTTTGGATTATGAAACTTTTTTTTTTGTGGCAATATGAGCAGAAGAAGATGGGAGCGAAGCGCACGCACCTCATACATGGCGCTCAAATCTTTGAAGAAAGTCTTGGCCCGGCAGAGGAGTGTTTCACTTTCTGGGCAGATGACGACAAAGCCGACATCCCTCTGGGAGCCAAAAGGATCCAGGAGCAGCTTTTCCCAGTAGGGCAAGCCAAAGGGGGACAGTACCATAAAATCGTACTCGTAGCCGACCAGAAACGTAGGGATGGGCAGTGGCTCAGGAGACTCGTCTGTACCTGCGGCGCAGAGGAAGAGGGAAAAGGTTGAGAACGTCCAGAAGTGCAAAGTGAACTCAACTTTGAAGTATTGTTCTCCGCAGCCGTACCGTAAGACCCCCTCCCGGCCATCTTGTGAAACTGCTGCCAGGTGAGGGGTCCTTGCACCCCCCACGAGCGCACGCTTCTCTTCTTCTGAATGGCGTCCTGCAAGACAGGCTGGAGGGACAACAGCACGCGCAGCACATCCTGAGAGAACAGCTTGTTCATGTCCGCTGCTTCGCGAGGGGACACAAACAAAATCTTAACTTCACAAACCTAAAAAAGGGAATGCAAGCAAACAAGATGGAAGGAAGGAAGCAAGGAAGGGATCCTTACATTTGCATTTTGGCCACTGATGAAGACAGGTGCTTTTCACGAGTGTTTCATCCACTTTGCCTCCCGACATGTTGTCCATAAACTGCCTGCCGTGCTCCAGTGCCATGTAGCAGTCATTATGACAGTCTCTCTCCTCCACCCTCACAAAAGAGCTAGGGTTAGAGCTCAGTTTGGGGTACTCCACGCCCGCCATCGGCGCAAATGGGTTGGTGCATTGGTCCTGGAGCAGTAGAATGAGCTCATCGGGTGGTTTCTCCTTCAGACCGCAGGACTTGTGTTTCGCAGACGCCCGCAGCTCTTCAAAGCAGCGCTCCGTATCGCGGCCGGCGTCCGAGCCCCGGCCGACCACGTCCAGCTCGTCCTCCAAGAAGAGCCCGGCGGACTGGCCGAAGCGGCGATTGGCGACAGCGCTGAAGCCGCACGTGCAGGGGTACTGGGCCTCGCCGTTATCCTTCAGGTACACGCCCACGTCGGCCCCTCGGATGTTCATGTTGCACACGCACACGCAGCAGCTGTCAAAATTGCAGTCCTTGAAGAGGTTCATGACCGATTCGGAGAGGATGAGCGTGACATAGAGACTGTGGGCCTCCGGAACGGAGGGGACGGTGGCCGGCTCCACCGAGCTGAGCGGCCGGCAGGTAGAGGAAGTGGAAGCGGGCGAGTAGAGGTCCGAGTTGTCGTACTTGAGCGAGCCTTGGACGCTGGAGGGTCCACGAGGCGTTCTGGGGGTCCGCGGAGTGCGAGGCGTGGGCACGGAAAAGCGGGGCGTGGCTGGAGAGGGGAGGATGCCAGCGCCACTGTTGCTGGGAGGGGCGCTGCTGGACATGACAGGCGTGTGGGTCTGAGGGGTGTGGGTCTGGATGTCATCGGGCTCCACACTTGGGATGTTACTTTCAGAAGATAAAGGGGAAAAGGTGTTACGCTGTTGTTGGACGATTCAACACTTTCAAAGTATTACACATATACGAATAAGGCGAGCACATTCTGTCCTTAGATGTTGGCCGGACTCCAACTTTCTTTGGAAACAGTTTCCACCAGAATCAAAAATACATAGTCTCCCAAAAATGACGACATAGTTTTGTCATTGAATAACATGGCCAATTTGTGCTCAAATCATCTCCGATTTTCCTGAGATGTTAAAAGACGTGGATTTTTTCCCACAACTGAAAACAGTTCAGATGCGGCCTCACATTTTTTCTGTGACACATACTTGCATTTAAATACTCCATGGATCAAAAAGTACTGTTTTGAGGGATCAGTAGGCTCTTATGCAAATTAGCCATTGCAACAGAATTTTTGTTCCCAGGACCACCGGGTATGAGGCTAGTGCAGGGGTCGGCAACCCAAAATGTTGAAAGAGCCATATAGGACAAAAAAAAACAAAAAAAAACAAAACAAAACAAAAAACAAAAAACAAAAAAAAACAAACAAACAAATATGTCTGGAGCGGCAAAAAAAATAAAAGCCTTCTATAACACTTACAATGATGGAAACACATGCTGTAGGCATGTAGGAGACTGGACTGTCTCAGAATTGTTTATGTTATTCATTCCTTTGTTGTGTGTTCACAAACGCCCCCATAGAATTTATTTTGTAATTTCCTCGCTTGATTTTTTTGTTTTGGTGCATTATTTTCGCTTTTCTTAGTGTCAGTGAAGTGATCATTAATTTCCGTTTTTCGGAGGCTGTCTTTGAACGCCTCTTGAGTCGAACGAGAAGAGAGAAGGCACCAAGTCAGACGCAGACGTGTCTGTGTTTATCGAGACTGTTAAAAGCATAAATAAAGTGTACGTTTTAAAAAACCAACATCACACTCTCCTTTTTCGGAGCTGCAACATGTATCTATAACTATTTGAGCTATATTAGCCTTCTATCAAAATCTTTTTCCATTTTCAAACATTTTTTATAACGCTCCATGGAGCCACTAGATGTCGCTAAAGAGCCGCATGCGGCTCTGGATCTGCGTGTTACCTGCATGTTATTTTGTCAACATAAATGCTACTTTCTTGACTAAGACGTGTAGATAATCAGAAATTCATATTCACAATGATATTTTGGGCACCCTGTGTTCGGTTACTCGGTCAAACTGTTACAATCATAAAAAGTTTTCAACATCAACATTTTCAAGAGTCAGACGCCTGAAAAACGTAAACCACTGTGAATTAACTTTCATTAAAAAAAACAAATAGATGACATTTACAGTGGCAGCGAAGTGATACGAAATTTGACATCACTTTTGTAGTTCCTCTCTTTTTGCAACATCACCCGCGGAGGTTCCCAGTTTTGTGTTTGCTCGAGGTTTTCTTTTTCCAAAAATGTTTTGGATTGAACTGTACTGTAATTAGATGAACTGTCGTGGATTCACATGCTACGTTTCTTACCTGTCTTTGTTCACCACAGGTGGCATCAGCTCCATTTTGCCGATGGTCCAGCTGCGCATGTACACGCACTTGTGCTCTGGCAGCTTGATCGGCAACAGACACTGACTGGGCAGCGTCTTCAGGGGGGCGTACATGGAGCAGCCAGTAAATGGCTGACTCGTCTCCGGCTTGTACACGAAAGAAAAGTCCTACAAGAGAAGATGCAGGCCAGAATTTCAAAGATGGTGTCGTGTCTATGTGTTCCGAGCTCGAGTGTAGGTGTCGCGTACCTTCACTTCAGAAGGCTTGGGGCTGCAGAAACCCTCCTCCACCTCCATCTTGAAGTGGTTGTTGAGTTGGCTGCCGTCCAGCAGGGTGAGGCCCGCCCCCGTTTCCAAGCTGTCCTTGCTGCCAGAGTTCATGGGGGAGTAACCCTGCTGTTCCAGCGAGGGTGGGGTGGGAAACATCTTGTGGAGATCTGCTGTGCCTGTCCAAGGAAAGGAGGGTGTTACTTCCCCGTTGAAAACATTCCCAACCGTAAAAGATCGGATCGATGATCTTACTTATACAAGATAGGGGGTCCAAAGAGGTGGGCTTTGCTTCTTTCGAGACAAACTTGTCATCTACACCTGCTCCAGCTCTTTTGGATCCAGGCTTTGTGACACATCATCAAGTCGAATAACAGTGCAAAATGAATTGGTGCTTGTGAGAATCGTCATGTGCGCACTTACCGTTAACTCATCTTCATCCGAATTGAAGATTTTATCCAAGTCGCTGTACGACACGGCCAAATCATTCTCATGGATGAGGCTGGTGGAGGCGGTTGGCTTACTGCCTGATGGACCTTGACCTTCTGCAACACGTTGACACAAAGCACAGAGTGAGAATGCTCTCACTTCGGATTTACGCAATGAACTACAGTAGGCACTCACCGTCAGCCGAAGCCCCCGATCCATCATCCAGCTAAGTTTGGAAGAAGAACAGATCAAAACTCAACAATCATAGAAAATAAACACAGCCGTGTAATTTTTCTTCATCTATTGCAGTGATTCTCAGAGTCTAGTACAAAGTGCCACTATTGAGACATGGGCTTTGTGAAAAGGTATGCAGAAGAACTACTGAATTAAATACAAACCAAATTTACAACATTAGGATGAAGCTTTTAGCTATGCATATTGCCTGTTAACATTGATTTTAATCTGTTACAGTACATTTTTGTATTTTAGAGACGGTCATAATGTTGATACTTGCAGCGCAAACCTTTAAATAGGCTAAAATACAAGATTTTTGAATGACGTAGTGTACAATACAATACAATACATGCCGATTTATATAGCGCTTTCACAACAGCTGCAGCTGTAACAAAGTAAACAGTATCACTCAAAAGTTTGGAAACACATTGACAACTGTGAGCTAAAAGTCATTCCAGGTCATGAAGCATCAACCAAGATGTGCGAAGCTGTTACTGTTTATCCAATGTGTAGTATTACCTGCCATCTAAAGTTGGTTAAAAAAAAATAATAAAATAATCCAGTAATTTTCCCCATAGTCAACCAAGTAAATTTAGCCAATTCATCAACCGTTCACAGTAGCAGAAAGCCAGGTCTTAAGAGACACATGAAATTGTTTGTGAAAACAGTAAAACCCAACCGGAATTGTGAAGATGCCCACCTTGTGTTTCTTGCTCCCGTCCCTGTCGGCTCCAGCCTTGTCCCTCTTTTCCTTGAAACTGAACTCCTCGTCCCCTTCATTAAAGGCGTAAGGGTCTGGCTCCTCGTTATGGTCGCCCTCCGCAATGACGCAGGACAGGTTTGTGTTCCTCCGCTGGGTGTAGGTCTTCACCAGTTCCTGGGACACTTTAAGAGGCTGCATGGAGCCTGCCATCAACCTGAAAAGGAGATTTGATGTCATTTTAGCTTCGCGTCTACATTTCAGTGTACGGCATATCGCTGGTAAAGAGAGATGGGAAGTAATGACACACAAATATTTCATTAGAGTATCTGAGTAGCTTTTTTCCCTGTAACGTGCACATTAATTTGTATTTATTTTTCAGATGTGTTACATTTTAATACCAGTATTTGGGCTTTTTAATGAGTACATTTTCAAAACAGGAATGTCCCTTTTTTTTTTTTTAAAGTTTTTAAAGCATCACAACAATTAATAGATTACGCCTGGAAGAAACAGCTAACATAGCTGGCTCTCGGCTCTGCCAATCATCTCAAGTGTTACTGCTTTTACCGTACACCCACCGTGTTATTGGCTCTATGTCAATGCTATAACATGACATGCAATTGGCTATAAAAACTCAGAAGCATGTAGTGCTCCCCACCAGCATGCAGAAGACATTTCAATATGAAAATGTCAACGTAAAACGTAGCTTGTACTAATCACCTCTCAACTCAGGGACAAGACACGGCACAGAGGAATTTATGGCGAAGGGTAGTATCTCAGGCTATTCAGAGTGCCAAAACATAATTTGCATTGAGAAGCTAGCATAGGTAAAATAGAGTAATGCCTGTAGCGTTTAAAATGCACAATCATAAAAAACTGAAAGTGAAAAAATTGCCTCCAAGTGCTTGGTGTACTTGCATGATGTGTCACATCAGGGTTTGGAAACCAATCCTGGGTCAGTTTGAAGGGTGTGTTTACTGCCAATCTTTCAATCAAATTATCTGATGGGGGGCGGGGGGGGGGGGCATTTGATGTGACCGGTAAAGATACATATTTTTACTCTTAAAAGTACATTTTCAGAGCCTATACTTTTACATGAATAATGAAGTCGGCTATTTTTATTTTTATTTCTTTTTTAACAAAAGTAATTGTACTTCTACTCAAGTACAGAATGTGAATACTTTTCTCATCTGTGCTGGTAAATTGCTTACTCTGTAACCGACACGACACTTTCTGCTCCCGTGCCGCTTCCAGCGTCATCTCGTACTTTATCCACAGGTAGCAGAGGCGTGTGAAAGATGGATGCCTTCTTCCGCGGTAGGTTGAAATACTTCCAGGGGTTGTGTCCGGGGTCTTCGTTCGGGTTGACGGCGGAACCGATGAACACCGTGGGCTCCAACGTATCGTTAAAGGGTGGGGGTAAGGGTAAAGGCATGGCCATGTTTTCTGGAGGGGGCTCCTCCGATGAGCTCTTCTGTGGCAGCACGCAAGGCTCCACTGAAGGCGGGTAAAAGGGCTGGTGAATGGGCGTTGAGTTCTTCATGCCACCCGGGGTCAGGTCGCCATCAGCATGGTCGCAGGGGTGCGGGCTGAGCGGCGGAGGTGGCGGCGAGCCGACGAGGTCGGTGGGGGGACCGTGGGTGTGCAGCGTGGGCGCTTTGGGGGGCGCCGAGGCGTCCACATGGTGCAGGCTTGGGTAAGAGGAGCCCTCTTCCTGCCCTCGCAGACAAAGCCTCTGGGTCTGAGGGTCCAGCGGCTGCTCGTCGCTCACAGAGTTGCGGTGGTGAAAGGGAGTCTGCGGCCTCTTCTGCTGCTTCTCGCCCTTCTCCAGCTTCTCGGCCAGCTTGTGCTTTGGGGCTGGCGGGGTGGGCTGGCCTGACAACGGCGGGTGTCCTGAGGTGTTGTTGGGTCGCTGCTTCTGATTCTTATGTCTAAGCGGGGGGGCGGAAAAAAAAAACTTAGCTCAGACATTCTCAAATATAAAATCCAGTAACAAATACAATTCTGGATAGTGTTTACTCAAAGAGTGACCAGGATATTAATTTACTCTTATCAATGAGAATTAGGCATTTCTTGGGGATTAGGAGATCATTAGCGGGAAGACCTTTTTTCAATACAAATGCATTTTCAAATCTTTTTTCCTCCGATAACTAAATTATACTTCTCTCTAATTAACTTGCTTGCGCTCTTTTCAGCGTTCATTAGTTGATTAATTTTTTCCCCAATTGACTCACTGTGAACTCTGGGCCTGTTTAAACACAAAGTACAGGTACGAACAGGAAGTTATCGCTTACAGTTTTTTTGTACCTTCTGCCATCAAATGTAAGAGCATTACATTGTTCTACCGGTCACAATAAGACACTGGCATAGATAGGTGAACAAAGATATTTGTCATTCATAAATCCCGCAGCACGTTATTTGCTGCCACACGATGATGTCACGGCACCCTGGTTGGAAATCACAGATGACACTATTTGAGGAAATACCAGAACCACAATATTTGATGGGTATACCTTGAACAATTGCAATGTGGCCTGTGGACGGGCTCCACGAAATCCCACAGCACAGTTTTGTCTGCCTCTTCCTCACAGGTCCCATTGGTCAAGTTTGTAAACTTCCTCCTATCAATGTAAGAAATGACATTTAACAAGAAATTCCTGTCATGTTTCTTTTTTTTTTTTTTTTTTTTTTTTATTGAAAGAAGAAATGCTTTGATGTACTTGTTCCCAGTGCGGTTTATGTTATACTCCTGCCAAACGGACTCCACCATGTGGCCAGCCAGCCTGCGAGGAATTTTCCCCCCGTGAAAAGTGTTGTTAGAACTGTAGCCGTCGGATGCAGAGGACAATTTATGCCACCTCTGTGCTGGCTGATAGTCTACAATAGAGGCAAGATAAACATGTTATACACTGATACAAACCCAATTCCAATGAAGTTGGCATGTTGTGTAAAAAAAATAAAATAAAAATACAATGATTTGGAAAGCATTCTCAAGGTATATTTAATTGATTACACTACAGAGACAAGACCTTTAATGTTCAAACTGATATACTTCTTTGTTTTGAGGAAATATTCATTTCATTTGACTTTTATGGCTGCGACACTTTCCCCAAAAAGCTGTGACAGGTGGTAAATTGCTGTGTCTTTGGAGTGTATTCCATTACAAATAATTTGCAACAGTGGTAAGTCAACGTATCAATTCAATGCATTCTGTGACCAATTTACTTACATGTGAAATCAATTTTCCCACTGAAAATGTATCGTGTTATTTTTGTCGTATATATTTGGGAAAAATCGGTGAAGTCGTACCAGTCTGAGCTTCCTCTGGTGATGTTGGTGGTGTCAGCGTGACAGAGGACATGGCGGGATCTCTGTGAGAGGCCTGGCCAGGTTGGGTATTGGACATGCTTCCTGAGGTGTTGGATGCGCCTTGAGGGACGACTGGAGGGAGGTCCGTCAGGGGGAGGAGCACCAGGCAGGAAGGGTACACCATCCTCACCCCGGCTGGAAGAGAAACACACACATACAAAAACTCACAACGCGTACAAGTAAAATGCTTCAAATGAATGATGGTTGGTTTGGAAAAAAAATATTCAACTGCGATTTTCTTTTCGTCAATATTGTGAGTGTGATTTATTAAGCAATTATTTTTAGGTTTTATTTCCATATTTTTAACACAAGCAACAAATTAATCACAACTTTAATTCATGAATGATTTGGTCTTGTATGCAAACAAATCTACGGATTTATCACTTCAACTTTTCAAGTCATGAAACAGTGATACATAAACATGTGGACTGCACGTCTTAAGCGCTTTACTTATCAAGTCTCCATACTAATCAATAGCATAATACCAACTGATCGAAATGAAGCAAGTCTCTGTCTTTTTTTTTTTTTTTTTGAAACCAAATTGCAGCCTCGCAGTTGGAAAATCAAATTCTATTACATTTCAATGTCTATTTGAATTTGATTGATTGTTCAGCTATTTCAAATGTGTGATGCCTCACCAACAAGGACCTTCACGGCCGCCAGGGAGTCATTCTCCCAGTCGCTGTCGTCCATCTTTTCCTCCTGGATCTCCTTGGGATTGGGGCCGATGGGATAAAACTGCCGCCACTCTTCAATGAGCTTCTGAGTGGGTTGATCCGACATTTTGAAGCCCTGGCCCGTGAGAGTCCCGTTCAAGCCGTATGGGCTTAAGATGACTGGAACACAAAGTAAGTGTAAACAAAGAATCATTGTGTCAAAAATGAGTGTGATCCGCACAGACCTACCTTGCATCGGGCTGGAGCTCTGCTGGGCAAGGCTCAGGTGATCCTCACTCAGCCATTGCAGAGGCTGGTGTTGCGCAATCTCCACACTCGTGCACACACTGCTGTCACCGTGCACAAAAAATGTGAACGTGCAGGACAGGTGCTCGCTGCGACGGGGTGAGAGACACAAAGTGCCACATTATATACAGTAGGATTAGGGCTTTGAAACAGCACAATGACAGTTTGGAACGAGGTGTCAAGTGTATCTCTTGTAGCGGGGGGGTACCCATTTGAAATCATGAACAAACGATGAGGAATCATATTCTCAATAGCTTCCATCTGACTGCTTCAAATGTGTTCCAATAAGACCATCAGTCCTTTTATCAGGCCATTTCTCGAATAAAAGCATAAAAAGAAAAAAGCCGGAACAAAATGTGTACGGCCTTGAAATAATACGACAATAGCCATCAGTAGCTTTCATTTCTCAAAGCGGCCAAGTGCCCTCAGATAGTACTTGTTGACATAGTTGCTGTAAAACCACAGTGCATGCTCAGCATTTTCCAAAGGCTGACCCTGTTTATTGGCCAACAAGGGCCGAAAACTGTCTTAAAAAGGCCTTAAAATTAAATAAATAAATGGCAATATACATTTACTGCTACACTATACTGAATCTTGGCCAGACATGATCGATTCGGTGTTTGTCAGAAAGAAAAAAAAAAATCATTCAATCCACTTTACATTTGCAACCACATGAAGCTTCTTCCCTTTATTAAAAAAAAAACCCCAAAAAACTGAGACCTGCTGACAGCAGCTTTAACATACTGTAAGACTTTGGCAGCTATTTTACCCCGCCAACGCTGTTTGTCATTTATACCATGAAAGAGTGACAATTATCAAAAAAGATTAAAAAGAGCTCAACTGAATACTGACTATGTCTTGATCATTTGAGTGAACTTGTTCAACATCACAAGAGAAATATGTAAGTCAACTATACAGCACAATGTGCTAAGAGCCCCTGCTGTGGTAAAACAAGCATGTGGACTGAACACATTGTCAGCTACTTTTGATCGCATTTCTTTTAATTAGGCCTGGCCCGGATCCAGTGTAGTCTGCTCAGGGTGGTGCAGTCAACATGTTTTGGCACAGTGCGCAGAAATATAGACAGGACAAGGAGGCCAGCTTTGCTAACTGAACTGCCGGGTTGCTCTCCAAAAGGCGTGTTTCCTTGCGTCATGGACTGGCGCACATAGAAGACAGTCTCACGGCAGAAGTGGTCACAATTTATGACAACTGTGATTTAATGCACTTAAATATGACACACATGTGCTGATGACAAAGCAACTCGGGAAAATTATCAAGCAACCTCGACCTGCCAACTAACTACGGCATCACAATCTGTTATTTCCTAAAGAGTGTGACACTTCAAGCTCCCAAAGCAGCTAACATGAACATCTGCAAGTGCCGTTTTTCCAGATAATCCCCACTGCGAACAAGTGAAGGACGTCGTGGGGTGGGAAGCCCCTAAACAGTACTACGAATGAGAACATCTGCCTGTACAGCCCGTAGTTATTTCTTAGTGATGCCCCTCCATGCTGATCACTTATTAGATGGCGATTTGCATTTAAGGTTGCATCTGATTGGTGAAAGTCAGATAAAAAACATACAACTCCATATGAAAATTTTCTCATATGGTTGCAATACGCATACCGCACAGGCCATTATCGCAATAAGTATATATTTTTTTCAATATATTATGCAGCCGTAGAACAGATTGTATGTCATTTACCACCATTGATGTGGATCAATGTGCGGATGAATGACTGCTTTTGCAACACGGAAACGCGTGCCGGATTCACGACAATGTTCAGCAAGATCGAGTCATTGCTTGTCTTCCGCGGGGCTCTCCTTTGTCACACATAAAATAATGTCAAATACTTCAGCTCATATTTCACGCTTGAGTGTCAACAGTCTTTACTTGGCGGTGGAATCTTTGCTGCTCATCGACTGATGCTGTAAATCTGAACCAATCTCAAATGACTGACAAAGCGGTACCTCTTTAGGATACTAGTTCTTCTCTGTTCACCACCATCTTATTAACGGGAACAGTGCGTGACAACAGACTACAGAATCCGCAAAGGAAAAGAAAAGCCTTTATGATATATTTGCTAAATCGCCAAGCCCTGCTCTTGAGTTCCCTGCTTTAAAAGCACTTTGTAGACACAGCTTGATTTGAAAAAGCAACAAACAGACAAGTGATTCGTCACTTAGAAACAAAGTGTGCAATTTTACTACCCTAATTTTCATTTGCCCTGAGGCATGTTTCAGGGGCCTAGAGCATTTAATGGAAGAGCCAGGGAATAGCTTTGGTTTAAAAAAAAAAAAAAAAGGGGGGGGGGGGGGGGGAGGGGGGGGGGAGGGTGTAGCAGTCTTCATCTTTACTTAGTGTTCCTTCTTGGAAACATACAAATGGACTCAAATGGCCTCAAAGAGAGAGAGAGAGAGAGAGAGAGAGAGAGAGAGAGACCACCATCTGAATGCAGCAACGAAGGAACAGGAAAGGCTACCTTTTGTTGATGACTTTCTCATCCTTCTGATAGGGCTTCACAAACCACTTGCCGATGCGTACGAAACCGCGGTTCATGAGGCAGCGCTCCAGCAGGTTGTGGATGGCTTTGAACAAGAGCGTGCGACACTCATAAGACAGGCCGCTTTCCCACTCGCCGTCCTCCTCGCCTAGAGGGAGACGCAGATGTTAGAAAACTGGAAATGCACAAGCACTTATCCCAACGGGTATGCTCATATTGTGTGTTTAACTGCGATAAAAGTTGTCTGTCAGGTTTCAACTGTATGGGCGGCACGGGTGAAATATCTCTTGAAAGACATTGTCAGAACTTCTTGTTTACATAGAATACAGTAATCCTGTGCCATATTGCGGGTAAAACTTTATGGCCCAAGCAATTGGAACACATTTATTTTTATTTGAGGATTATATCCACGTATCTGAAGCCTACCGCGCCACCCCCCCCATTATTATTTTGAAAAGTTGTAGATGCACTGCTTTCCTGTGCAGTACCTGGAGACGGACTTCAGTTCCTATGGCTGGGTAGCGCAGTCACTGTCGGCCCCTGTACAAGCGCACAGTAACCACCACATCGTCTAGCCTTGCACCTGCCTTCACTCAAGATTTTTTTTTTTTTTTATCTTCACTGACAAGTTCAATGACTTCAAAATAAGTTGAAGCATGTATATTTATTCATGCCCCTATGTGTCTAGATTGTATTTAAAGAGCATGAGAGGGTAAGTCCAGACTTGAACTGTAGGAAAACACATTTTGGGGGCGGTATTTGCAAATTCCCACTTAGTTTGCTAAATTCAAAGTGTTGTGGAAGGCTTGTGTTAAAATTCCCCAGGTGTACCTAATGCAGTGGCCTGAAAGTAAACAACCCAACTCTGTAGTTTTTGGCTCATTTGCTGAGTGTCAGGCTCAGGATCATTTCAAACCTCATCTGCGCGGACCCCTCTCCAAGAAGGCATATCCACTCATAAAGAAATGAGTTTTAAAACCCCAAAACAGGTCATCTTGAATGGCTCGCCGAAAATCAAATTTCCACTAGCGTTTTTGAGGAAAGCTGCTACATACCGGCCTGAATATCCAGTGGCCGAAAGCCAGCAGATTCCACACAGCTTTGGAGGACTGACTCACAACACATCAGATGTTGTATAATCCAAACGGCAATTGGAAAAAAAAAAGTCTTGCTTTTGAAATGGTAAATTGAAGCACTTTTTTCCCCCTTTGCTTTTATTCTACCTGTGTGTTATCTCCTGTGAGTTGTTACATTTGACCGAATATATCTTACACGCCAGATGATGTGGAATCAGACACTGTGCACTCACTCAAGAGCTCGTTGTGGATGAGCTCGGCGAAGCTGGGGTCATCGCCCCACCAGAAGAGCCAGAGCTCCCGGCGTCCGGGCGTGTGGTGCCGCCGCCACACGCTCAGCACGTCTGCTGCCATGCACCGGCTGAAGCTGCACAAGATGGGGTCCTCCTCGGTCACAGGGAAGAGGATGGGCGACGAGGTGGGCCCTTCCCACACAAAGCGTCGCCATTTGATCCCGGTCAAATCAGCCTTAAGGAGAAAAAAAAAAAAAAAAAAAGGATTGATGTGAGGCTGAAGACAAATAATACAAGTCCTTACCCTAGTTGCAATCCTCTCTCTCTTCTCTCTCTGTCCCTGACTTCTCTCACTCCATCTCAAAACAATCGGTCAAGGCAGAAGGCCGCCCACAATACTGTTAGGTGTTTTTTTCATCAGTGGGAGTCTTTCCTTTGCTTAGGAGGCCAAGTGTTTTATCATAAACGTGTGTGGAGTGTGCATTGAGACCCGATTCATTCTGTTGTGAAATGGCACTATTACTCCATTCATCCAGTGCTGTGTGATAACATTCGTTTATCCATTGCTAGCCCTCCCGGTTTTACACTATTCTAATAAAACGATAGCCATCTGTCAACAGCAGAGTTAAAAAGACAAAACCGCAGCATTTTTAGGCTGTTGTTAAAAACAACTTCCAGTGCAGTACTGTTCCACCATGACTGATGATTATTTGGAAGTGTGCTAGTGGCTCGCTATCAGTAGCGACTGTTCGAACTATGCATCCCTGGCCCATTCCATTCAGTGCAAGTCATGAGAAGTAAGTAAGGACAGAAAATGTGCACTAGTTGCACTCTGCAGTGCAATATGACTTCATGAAGTTATGCAAGCTACATCAAAATATATTGAATATGGAGAATTCTCAATACATTCATAAATGTTTTGTATTGCTATTGGAGATAGATCATTTGATCATTTCTCAAGTAGCTCCCTTATTGATAAAGTGTGCGTACTACTGTTTTAGTCTTGAATTAACCTGACATGCATGTTCCAGCAATGGGGGAAGAAGCCAGAGTACCACAAAGTAGAACATGCAAACTTCACACAGAAAGGCTAAACGTGCTCTGTTGCTACATGCACAATATTAAATTGACTAAACACAGTCAATAAGCATAACACTCATAATGAGCAGCTGTGAGTGAAAGTCACAAAATAAACAGGCTTTCTTGGAAAAATGACACACAATCATGACTAATGGGTCAAGTTGGCACCGCACAAGCGCACGTCAGTCGAACCTGATTAGTAGGTAAAGCATTTAACAGCTGACGGGCACGTCTAACACGACATAGTGTTTGTAGTAAGACTTGCTCGTAATTACTGCTAATGTCAGCGTATTGTGTGCACCCTACGCGGCGTACTAGCCCTATTCACAAGGCAAGTGGGCACCACTTGGCCCCGCAGTGTGTGTACTGCTCCTATTATGGAAGTTGGCCGAGATCACTATTTGCAAGTTGCAGGCCCCGATGCCTTCACGCCAGTCTGCAAGTGACGTTACAAAGCTCGGCAGCCTGATTAGCCAAAATGGCTTTCTGTGGCCTCAGCGGGCGCAGCTAACGAGCCGGGCTAGCCACACACACACACACACACACACACACACACACACACACACACACACACACACACACACACACACACACACTCCCTCTCTCTCTCTCTTACCAGGCAGAAGAGGTTGGAATGGCAGTCCTCCAAACTGGCCCCGTTTGGTACAAAGCACGAAGTCATCCTTGTCACTGCGTCGTTGGAACCTTTAAGTCCATGGTCTCACACAAGAACTGCTCGCTCGGGGGTGGCGGTGGTGGTGGTGGTGGCGGTGGTGGGGGGTAGCGCTTCTACGACCAGCCGCCGCTCGTCAGCCAGGGAACTTCCAGCCGGTGCTAGCCGCAGCCGCTAGCCCGAAAGCTAAGCCAACGTCATGGATCGCAAAGACAAGCATCGAGCTCAACGATTCATCGATCCGATTTAAAATGTATTGTTCCGTGGGCTTCCAGTGAGTGAGCTGGCGGGGGCTACATTACCGTAAATACCAAAATAGCACGAGTTAACATGACCCGGATTGACTACCGCTGACTAAGTGATATTCGCGGTGCAAAAAAAAAAACGGGGAGCTCCGAAAGTCACCCACCGCCCCCCCAAAAAAGAGAGAGAGAGAGAGAGAGAAACTTCAGCCTCCAAAGCGCTAATGCTAATGGTTGCTAGCTGATCTGAAACAATTTCAAGGCACAGGAACTCTGTGTGTCTGTCTTGTCTGTGTGTCTGTCTCTCCCCTCCCCCTGGTCTCTCTGCTAGCCTGCTAGCAGACGAGCTAACATACCAGAGGTCCAACAACGCTAGCTTCCATAAAACAATTAGCTCAGCCGCCCCGCCGTTTCGCGAGCAAGCACCATGTTGCTCCCCGAGCGATCCCACAGAAAACGGCCCCCCGAGAAAAGGAAGGAAAGGGCGAAACGGCGAGGCTACTCATCGGCTTGCGCGCCCCCCTGCTTGGGCTCCTTGGCTCCAGCAGATTTCCATTATTTCAGCTCATGGATTGAATTCTTTAATGGCGGCCAGGAGGACAAGTCTGCCTCTCGGCTCTGATTGGCCATTTGCCGCTAATGGGGGCGTCATCAGGCTTCAAGTCGCTCCATGACTTCACAGTTTACAAGATGAAAGCTCCACTTGCATCTGTCATACTACTGTCACTGGTGCTTACCCCCTCGATGATGTCTCTCGGCCGACACGAGACTCACTGCAACACGTTCGAATTGCATCGTGTCGATGTGCATAGGCTACTTTACACACACACACACACACACACACACACACACACACACACACACACACACACACACGCACGCACACACATACACACGCACGCACACACATACACACGCACGCACACAAAACTTTGTTTCTATCAGTTATTCAAACAGTTTTCGATTACTCTTGCTACAATTTCTCCACCTTTTCAAATCATTAGAAATCAAAACAAATCAGGACCTGTTTTCACATTCCAAAAGTTCCCAGTCGTAGAATTCTACATTCTTCACGCCACACATCATTCATTCACAACGAGACGGTCAAAAACGTTCCGTATTATTCTCATTCCAAATCCAATCCTATTCAGATCATTCGGAACATGCTGAGAACAATTTCCGTATTCCAAGAATGTCCTCCTTCACATATTTTCACAGTAAAATTGATAATACAGTACATAATTCTGTCCCGCAAATCACGCTTTTCCCCAATTCCATGTCTCATTGTAAAATTTCCCAAATGTCAAAATTTTGCAATAGAATTGCCACATTTCAGAGATATTTTACTGAACTCTTTCCCACTTCCATATTTCGTGACCAATTCAAACTATTTTATATTCTGAGAATTCTCACGTTCCCTAAATTCTACACTTTTCACAGTACAATTCCCACAATTTCACTGTTCACACAATTAAATGATGTTTTACATAATCCCCCCTTCCACATTTCTTGACCAAGTTAAACACTTTCAGGTTCAAATTATTAAACTTACTCGGAACATCTACAAAAAAAAATCAAATCAAATTCCCTAAATTCCCAAATTTTCTCAATAAAAATCCTAATTTAAGACATACTAACACCACGCTTTACATTTCTTGACCAATTAAAACCATTGCAAATTCAAAAATTGACCTCATTCAGGCCATCTGAGGAACTATTTGCAGTTCCAAAATTTCTATTAAAAAAAAAAAAAGAAAATGTCCAAATTGAAAAGGATATTACATATAGGCTACTAAACGTTTATTATTCACTCGTGTTAGCACTTTTCTGAACAGATTAAAACATTAGAAGTCTCACATTGTACATTTCAACATTAATTTCTCAGCATTTCAGTTCAGCTTCAGCTTTTCAACATTGTCTAGTTTTGGTTTGTTGAGGGGGCACAAGTTTCATTCATTGTACAATGACTCATAGGGGCACATAATATTGTCAGATTAAAAATAAATGTGTGTGCTACAGCATTCACATTTCTTATATCTGTTCCCCACAAATTTTAAAAGGAGTTGCAACAAAATAATGATGAGTATGAGATAATGAAAAAATATATAAATGCAAAAAAAAAAAATCCATAAAAATGTATTTGCTACATATTTTAATCCGAGATGCAAAATTATTCCTGTTACTGTGCAATTTTTTGGGGCATTACATTTTTTCCATTAAAAAAAAATTCAAAACATATGCTCTTTGTCAAAATGATGGATGACATGATTTGCAAATCGCCAAATCCAAATATCCTGTCGCTTAGTCTGGGGATTAAAAAACATGTGAGTAAAGAATATGTCTGAGCATATGCACCCGCCTCTTTACCTCGACGGATGTATTCTTGTAATACATACAAAAGAAAAATATTACAATATTTTACGTGTCTAATGACGCCTTTTCGTGCACTTGGACGTCAGCGTGTCATTTGCAAATGAGTCCACAGGGCGGAGACTGACGTAGGCGGAGAAAGAAGAAAGGGCGGGACTTCCGGCGACCGCAACCTCACAACCGACATGTCAACAACATGCGGGAGTCCAGCAGAGAAACACAAACTGAGGATGGGAGAAGGCACGAGCCACAAACACAGCGACAAAACAGGGCGTCACACAACATCGTGTCTACTATCTCTTGGTTGGTAGATGACAACCTCACACTTGTGCGGGTAGGAACCTCCTGAACGCCGAAGTCGTACAACAATATGGTTCTTCCACTGGGGTTGTAGACAACATGCAAGCTCTACACATTCGAACCATTTGTGCACAACTTCATGCATTCTGTTTTTTGTGACAATGTCTCGATCATAACACACCTCTTGTCTCACAAACAGAGCATAAGTGGCGGGCTTGCTCTTGCTGGGGTGATTCTAATTGCAAGGAGCATCAAACTGGTAAGAGTTCAACCTGTCACAAGAGTTCACACAGCAGCTTCATACACACAGCAGAGCGGTCCACAAGTTGTGGTAACATTTACAGTCCAACCAGGATTTTCTGGAAAAATGTGACACCGAAGTCTACTTCGAGTGCAGACCACGTGGGACATTATGCAAATCTAGCAACCTGGCCGACTTGTCACACAAACGTTTGCCGAGCCCTTATATAAAGGATGAACACATAAGGACTGAACCTGAAGCAAATTCATCCACTTTAAATTGTTTCCAATGGGTAAGTGTTTTTTAAAATGAGAACAACTTGGAAATTAACCAAAATCATGGAACAGATTGAGTTCAACTTTTGAGATTCCGCTGTAATTGATTGCAACCATTTCAAAAAGGAAGTCATTGACTGGGAAGCCTAACTTCCTTAAATAAAATTCCTGACATAGATACATAATCAAGTTCTGTATCTATGCCAGGAAAAGCCTACTAGAACATCTAAACATTACAGGTTAATAGGCGGTGTTTTAAATGTTGGCAGGTTTGTGCTGACTCCCATTTAACATAAGCTTGAATGTCTGTGTTAATTCTGAAGACAGCCACATTCATAGTTATAAGAGTGTGTGCACACTTCTGCTACTACATCATCTCTGTTTAATTTTGCTTCCCCTCACAAAAAGTTAACTTATTTTTTCAATTGACCTGTACAGGCTATCGCTCACAATAATTGGCGGAAAACATTTTGAAATGATTGATATTAGTCTCATCTTTTTATATCACAAAAACCTGGCATCTAAGGTGTGTAAAGGTTTTAAATCTCCTGTAATGGTCTCTTCCTCAGATCACCAAATTTCAAGCAGTGTCTGAAATTCCCGCTCGTTTCGTGGAGAACAACGTCAGCCTCCGCGGGAGAGTTCATTCCGTCAAGGAGCAAAGCCTCCAAGTGGAACACGTGCCTATTTCTCTGCCTCTGTTGTCACCTTTACTCACCAAACACAAAGGTCATCCGTATGACATGACACGACACCATCAATTTAATGTGCCAGAAACACTGGTAAATGCAAAGCATCAAATCCACAGACTCATTTTGTCTCTCAGTATGATTGCCTAATGTAGGAACATCAGCTTCCTCTTCTCATGTCACTGTGACATTTCTAGTGTGTATTCAGCACATTAGTTCAATTACCAAATCATGGCTAGTGTCATTTTATATGTGTGTGTGTGTGTGTGTGTGTGTGTGTGTGTGTGTGTGTGTGTGTGTGTGTGTGTGTGTGTGTGTGTGTGAGTGTCTTTATTTACGTATGCGCTCCATCAACATCGTGAAGGACAAACTGGACTATCACGCCATAAAAACTGCTGACTGTTCAGATGTGCCTGTCATGCACCGCAACCAGGACGAACTGCACGAGACTACACATGTGTTCCTTATATACCAGTTGCAACAATGACTACGACAGTGAACCTCCACTATTCACCAGGGATAGCGACCGAACCCTGTCGCAAATACTGTAATAGCAATCCACAAATATGGTGGTGACTTGACATACGAGTGCCTTGACTTAACTTGATACAGTTTTTAATTCATATAAACTGCCTCTGATTGACCCCAAATAAGGTTACTCTAGTTGTAAGCAGGGCTACCATAGTTTTGGGTTTCTCATTTTATTTTTTGATTTCATTTTTACTAGTTCAAATTCAGTTATGATAATAATAATAAACCTTGATTTGTCTCACAATGGAGACATTCCCAATTTACAGCAGCAAAGTTATGAAAGGAAGTAAGTAGAAGAACAAAAAGTACAGGAGCTGCTGTAAAGGCAGCCACGCTCGCTGCTCCATCTTGAAGTCATAATAACATTAATTACCGGTAGCTATTTTTAAATGTTTAAATTTAAAATTTTTTATCGTTTACTTTTAAATGCCTTGTTTTAGTTTAGTTTTTATTAGTATTTATATTAGTTTTAGTTGTTTTTTTTTTAAGATGGTATATTCCTTGTATGTCTGTTTTAAAAAAAGGTCACAGTGTCATAATTACATAAATTGAATAATTGAAACAAATAACAAGCAGATGAAGAACCCTATTCAAATAAAATACTGGTAGTATATAACCGGTCGCAGACGTTGAAGTGCAATAAATGCGCTGCGTTGGCATGAATGGATGGATAGATAGATGAGATTGATATTTCTACACTATGAATATATTTTGTTAAATTCCCAGTAAATAAAAAAAAAAATTAAGAACAGTAAAAATTGTGGTGTAGGCCCTTGTCCAGTTTCTGTACTTAAATGTTGTGTTCATTTGTCTGGTCAGGTGTACCCTCCTCACCCTTGCTTGTGAACCTGGCCGGCGTGGATCTGACGGCAGATGGCAAGTTATGGCTGCAGAGGAGCGTACTTCCCACTCAGACGGTGTGGTTGCAGCTAATTAGCCGACAAGACGACACGTTGCACTGTTTTGTGACCCACAACAAGGTGAGCTTTTCTTTTCTCCCATCAAATAACCCAAACCATGTTTGATCTACTTGTGCTCCCTCTGTTGTCCAGCAGGGGTCGTCCTGGGGCCGCTCAGTGAACGAACAGGCCCTGAGTCTGGGTCTCGCCCGCACTGCTCCGGTCACTGGCCTCTCGCCAGACACTCGCTTATACTGGCGTCTGCACAAGCGGCTGCACAGGGCAGAGGTCAAAGCCGAGAAGAAGCGTTTGGGTCTGTGGAAGGAGGAGAGCCAATGGAAAAGGGTCGTCAAGATTGTGCGGCACAATGCATTATTTCGACTGATACGGAGGATCTTTCGGAAGACCTGATGAGTAGATACAACCTCTTTGTTTTGTTTTTCTTTTGTGAATTACTTTACATTTAAAGTAAATTCAATCCATGTTAAATTCTGGTCACAGTTAATAATGCCAGCAAATGAGAAACATCAAACATTCAGTCAAATGTTTGACTGAATTATCCATTCGTCCATTTTCTAATCCACTTATCCCCACGAGGGTCGGAGGCATGCTAGAGCCTATCCCAGCTGTCTTCGGGCAGTAGGCGGGGGACACCCTGAACTGGTTGCCAGCCCATCGCAGGGCACACATAGACGAAAAACCATTTGCACTTAGAATCACATCTAGGGACAATTTAGACTGTTCCAATAACCTGTCATGCATGTTTTTGTAATGTGAGAGGAAACCGGAGTACCCGGAGAAAACCCACGCAGGCACGGCGAGAACATGCAAACTCCACTCAGGAAGGCCAAAGCCGGAATCGAATCCTGCACCTCTGCACTGTGAGGTGGACGTGCTAACGAGTCTACCCCCATACCGTCCTTGACTGAATTAATTATTAACTTTTTGTACTTGGGGTTTCAGTATCTTGCTCAAGGACACTTGGACATGGTCGCAATGGCCGGGGATCAAATCACCAAACTCTAGGTTGGGAAGCAACCACTCTGTGCATTCAGACATTTAGCGAACATCAAAATAAATAGAGAAAAAGCCAGAAGGAACTTCTAGCATTCTATAACATTATGCTGATAAACATATATACTAGTAAAATAACTATTTGGTGCAAATAAAAGAATACAGTATAAACATTTTGTTGTCACTCTCTCTTCTTCGGTGCTTCCTGTGCTGCTCATTCAGTTGGGCGTGACATGGCCAGCTCCTCTCTCACCTTCCCAGCACGGAAGTAATATTAGTCAATCTTCGCAGAGGGTAAATAATATATGCCTCTTTGTACCCATTTTGTGTAAATATATACATTGTTTAAAGGGTAACAACACCAACACAAAAACAGAATACAGTATAAACATTTTGTTGTCACTCTCTCTCCTTCGGTGCTTCCTGTGCTGCTCATTCAGTTGGTCGTGACATGGCCAGCTCCTCTCTCACCTTCTCAGCACGGAAGTAATATTAGTCAATCTTCGCAGAGGGTAAATAATATATGCCTCTTAGTACCCATTTTGTGTAAATATATCCATTGTTTAAAGAGTAACAACACCAACACAAAAATGCTAATTGTTAGCCTGTGTGCTTACCGTGTTTCCCAACGGATGTTAATAATGCTAGCGGAATTATAAAACACGCAGTTCTCTTTGTTTTATGTTTAGTTTGAAAGTAACTTCATCTGAGGGTGGCAATAAACGGATTGAAGTTTCTTTTTTTCGAAGAATATTTACTTATGTGCAAACTGCTGAGTCCCTTGCCATTATACATTTGCATGCCAAATTTGTGTTCACAAGTCAAAAAAAATCAGTGTGTGCATGTGTGTCTCTGGATACCGCGTGGTCCACTTGCCCCTCCTGTGAGATCACTGTTGCTATAGAGCCACTCAATGTGAAATACAAAGCCTACTCCAACCCCATGGGAACCTTGTATGTGTGTCTGTGGGGACGTGGGGTTGGGATCCTAATGGATGCATTAGCGCTGAAATGCGAGAAGAAAATTATGTCAATTGCCCACAAAGCAAAATATGTTTTACCTAATGAGTGATCACTGTCAAACAGAGCAAATTCCCCGCATCTGTGTTTACATGCGGACCAAAATGACACCACACAGACGCTTTTCTGCAAATGAGACCAGAGCGCGTTGTGTCCCGTGCGGGTGCACTGAAGCACTCAATCCCAACGGGCACACAAGGAGATTAGTGGCGGCCCAGGAGGAGAAGGAGGAGGAGGAGGAGGGTCACAGGCGGATTTTTGGTCACCAAGCACAAAAGACAAGAGGAGGAGGAGTCACCAGGGTAAGCGAAAGGAGGTGAAAGGGGGTGTGTGTGAAGAGCATGGACAGAGGGAGGGTGGGGGCGTTGATGAATCAACCAGGGCCTTCCTTTGTTGTGCAAATGTCACGAGTGACTGTTAAGGCTGAGGAGGCTCGCCATTGGATGTCTGGTTTAAATTGTAAGGTGCATCTATGGGCTGCCAGACTTTGTACTGTCACACTGAGAGGAGTGGGAAGGAAACCATGGCCAAGATGCACCAAGGCAAGTCCTCAAGACACAGAATTGGGGTCAAGCTGTTGAAAACATGGACAAAAGTGTTGGGATGTGTGAACTTTGCACCTTAAACTTACTTCTTACTGATTTGGGATAATCTCTCTTTGATTTGAGGAGGTTTCAGTGGGTCATTTTTTTCATAGACATCAAGTCATGGCCCACATTTAAAAATTTTTTTTTACCCAAGCAAATCTTGAGAACACACCCACACACACACACATCCTTATACCTGGACAAGATTATTTTCCATGTTCATTCCAGAGCACAATATTAAGTAAGTGAGTCAGAAGGCAACCATTTCATTATAACACAAATATGTGAATAAGTAATTTTTGTCTTGTATTAATTTAGAATTTTTATATGATTATACAGTATTTGACTTATTTTTTGGTGTTTGTGTATCATATAAATGATCTGTTCACTGACTCATTGTAAACAAATAAAACATATCACTAAAACTAAACAATTTAAAAATACATTTAAACGGGAGTCAAGTAAAAAAAATGTCAACAATAATATGCAGCCCCATTAATCCAAACATGGCTTTCCCATGAATATTGTGTTTGTGGAATATGAATTCAGCAGCAAATTCCACCCTGTTTTATCCATCTCAGGGGGCAGCCAATTTGTCACTTGCTGTTGACTGAAAAGGACATTACAGTTGTTTAGGGCATGCGTGTGTAAGTGTGTGCGTATGCGCGCATGCGCGGTAACGGGTCCCTCGTGGGAGGTTGGTTGATTGAAAAGTAGATCTTAGGTTAAAAAAGTTTGAGTACCCCTGATCAAAAGTTTTTGATTAAACTGCCACACATGTTTTTGGAATGTGGGAGGAAACCAGGGTACCCACGCAAACACGGGGAGAACATGCAAACTCGACACAGGAAGGCCTGAGCCGCAATCGAACCCTGCACCTCTGCACTGTGAGGCTGACACGCTAACCAGTTTTTCCACCGGGCCGTTTGTTGATTATAATTGTATTAATTATAAATAATGGATTTTAACAATGAACATTCATTATTTATAATTAACTATTTCCTATACCTTCCATATACTCATATAAACGTTTTTTTATTTTATTTTACCTCAGTTACGAATTACCCTATCCTTGCATCCCCCAACCTTCCAAGTTAAAGAGGGGTCTCTAAATATTTTTTTCTCACATAAATTACCTTAAAACTGTCACTTTTAATGAACAAGAACAGTAACCGAATGAACAACTTTTGCCATAAATATGTTTTTTTTTGCGAACCAAGTCTCTCCTTCTCTGGTACTGTGAAGTGAATGAATCCACACTGGTGAATCCACTCCATGTTTTCCAGGTCACGAGTGTTTCCACACCGGGAGCACTGTTTGAATAAGGCACCATGCTCGAGGTTGTGGTGGTGGTGGTGGCTGCTACCTTGCCCACACACACACACCACAAAAGTCCTGTTGGGTTTCTCTTCACATGTGAAAGAAAAACCAGTGGCAGCATCCCTGACTTCTGCGACGTATAGACAGTTGTCTTGGACACACTATGGATGGATACCTGAAAGAAGGAGAATTCTGCTGAGGATGTCAGGACTTTGTGAGGGAGCTGTCAAGAGCTGAAAAGGTAAGTGAGCTGAGAAAACAACAAAACACTGCATGGCATCTGCTTTATTAGTGGCCATTTGGACACTGTAATCAAGTTAATGTCTGTCAGTCATCGACACACATAATTAGCTTGGGGCCTGGTGGGACTATTTTATGGAGTAAATCAGAATAAAGTACATTTGATACATCGTTCAGGTTTTTTTTCCTGCACTTTCGGAACAGTTTAGCAGCCCTAAAAGAGGCCTGCCATCTTCCCCCCCCCCCCCCCCCGGCCCCCGTTTTTTAAAAATGCAATCACTAATTAAAGATTGACTGCTCAGTGCTGAGCTCACATGTGGCTGTTTGTCGCCATTGTGCCTCAACAGCAGATATTTTCAGCAGCAGGACAGCTTAACAAAGACCTTTACTACACTCAAGCCGGTAGTCATCCCAGACATGGGGGCACCCACCCCCCAGCTAGAGAGACCCGATTCCTTGGGGATTTTTCTACAGTTTGAATTGAGTGGCTCTCTGTGGTTGGATGAATGAGGAGGATAAAGTGAATTAAAGAGACAGGAGCCAATTTTGGGGGGATTTTTTTTTATGTTACGTCATCCAAACATCAAGCCCAGTGTATTATTTGTTTTTAATATTATTTAATAAGTGAGCCGGTGCCATCATGCGGCAACGTGCATTGGCGAGTAGGGCGATGGAACGTATGGCCCGTGCATGGACTATGTATGGTCAGTGAGAGCATGCTTTTTCATGGCACATCTGCAGAATGAGCATCAAAGTTTTCAACGCACATTAGCTGACATAGTTCATGTTGGGTACCAATTATTTGCGAAAAATCACTGAAATAATAACGTGCATAATGTTACAGTGTTCTCAACTTTTATTTTTATTTTTATCCAGTACAATGCATTTGTTGAGGACCACGTAACTTTTCATACAGTTACATTTGATCTTTTAGAAGTGTTTGATTTCAAGCATTTATTTAGGTGCAATTTCATTTTAACATGTGAAATACTTTTATTGCATAATTATTTTACTAGTGCATTGAATGTATAGTAATGTTGGTGATGATTAGTAAAATCAATTAAACTCCAATCAACATTGGGATGTTGTAGAATGCATTTGCATTTCACATAGACTGCAGTTAAAAAAAAGGTGTCGAGGTTGGCCAGTAGTGCCAGCAAATCGAAACGAACAACCATCTGCGTTCCCAATGATCCTAGGGACAATTTAGAGTGTTCAATCAGCCTGTCATGCATGTTTTTGGAATGTGGGAGGAAACCAGAGTAGCTGGAGAAAACCCACGTTGGGGAGAACATGCAAACTCCA